ATATTGATATGTACTAAATAATATACAATAAATATTACACATAGTTGGGTTTAGTTGAATATTAACAATTATATTATATACAAATTCATAGCAAAAATAAATCTTTGGTTATTCTTATATAAAGTTAAACTCTTTTTTATTCTATTTGCAATTTTTATTATTTTATATAATTCAACTATAAATATTTGACTAATTTACAATCTATTATTTTTAAGTATTTAAAATTGAATATATTTATTTCTCACTTAAGTAAATTATTTACCTTTATAACAAAATTTGAAAAATATAATATTATTACAAGGTTATAGTCTTCTTAGTAAAATATAACTAAATAACAAGGTTACCTAGTACAATGATTAATTTTTGCAAATATACATAGGTAGATGTGTAGTTGTTTACTTAACTATATAGCAGAAAGCAAATGGTTTGAGATAGTGACAGTATATAGAATAATTTTATTTTATACAAAAATACAGGATAAACTTTGTTTGTAAGAATTACTTGAGAGGGTGAATATCACATTTATAAGAAGAGTATAAAGAGAACAGAGTCTAAATGAAATAAAGAAACTTGTTGAATTGATATGAAGGGAAAAAGCATTCTTTATATATCTTTTCTATTCAAAGAAAGATATACAGTATATAAGAAGATATTAGAGGATAAGAACATTAGTAAAAAAAGTTGAGAAATGTGCTTAAGAAAGTTGAGAATTGTACTGGAGAAAGTTGGAGAAATATAAATATTATTTAATTTGTTTATATTTTATTTATTGTTTGTGAAAGAGAACTCAGAGAAGAGAAATTTGAGAGATTTTGTATCTAAAATACTTGTGTTTGTATAAGAGAAACTTGTGAGACTTTGTGTAGAGGAACTTGAAGAAACTTGTGTTATTTTCTTATATTACTTTTTGTATAATCCAATATATTCTTTTGTATAATTTTGTATTATCTGAGGTTATATAAGGCCATATAACTGCATTATACTTCCAATAATCAATCAAAATATTCCTATATTATTGTTATATAATATACTATCTAAATATATATAAAACTAAGGGAATATTATTATAGTGCTGCCCTATATGTAAATACAAAATTGATATAACATGTGAATCAAACTAATCTAATCTTTACAAAAAATAAACCTTTTAATTAGATTTAGATTAAAGCAGTGATTAAGATTAGGCATAGTATAGATTAAACTAAAATTTTGCAAGGAATTTTTTTTAATGGTTTTTTAAGTAAAATTTTGAAATATAACTAATTTTTTAAAAATTTATTGTTTTTGTTATACAAAGGAGTGATCTGCATTTACACCTGATTTTAAATTTTAATTGGTTACAATACCCTAGCACAATAGTGCTATAGCACTATAAATTAAATCCCTAAAACTAATATATAATAATATAATAAATATAGAGAATTACTATTTCCACCCCCATTTTTGCTAATGCCACCTCAGATATCATAAAGTGTTTCGAAATAGATATTCATATTAAGAAACCCTTCTTTTTGGTCTTAATAAAAGTTGTTCATCAGGCCTTTCTAGTTTTAATGATTATAAAATCATTAAAGTCAGACCAATAGTTTTTATTTAAAAGTAAATGAAAGTTAACTAACTTCAGATATAAATATCTTAGAAACTACTAGTTCGAGTATAATGGTTTTACTACCATTAGAACCGGTAAAGCCTGATGAACAACTTTTATTAAGATCACAAAAAAGGTTTACTTAATAAGAATATCTATTTCAAAACACTTTATGATATCTGGGGGATGGCATTAGCAAAAATGGGGGTGGAAATAGCAATTCCCTAAAATTAATATAAATACGTAATTTAAGATTTAAGATCGACGAATATCTTTAGTTGAATACAGAAATGTGAAAATTTTAAAGCATCTTCGTTGGCAAATAGTTGAAAAAAAATTTAGAAGCCTTATTAATTCGAAAAATTGTCAAGCGCTTAGGTTTTAGCATATGTGTCGTCTGTAAGTCGGGCTCTCAAGCACTTTCAAAGATATCAATATATTTAAAAACTTTCGTAACCATTTTTAATTTAGTACTTATTCGTGTAATATATTTATTACAAGAGTTATTTTATGTTCGGAGCTTTTTTATTTTCGCCAATATTTATTGGCTGGCAAGAAGGTCTTTCAACAACTTTTTGTACAAACTAAACACACCAAACATGTTGGGCAAGCATTCGAACGAAATTTAATAATGTTAATATTATCGTTATAATGATCTGTAAAATAATCATGATACAAACTAGCTTTATATGCATCTTATTATCAACATGATCTTTGCCAATGAAGGGTTTCAGAATTAACGTGCGGAAATCTAATTTTGACAGAAATTGATAACATACATATTTATTTTCAAATGAGCGATGTATCGATTGTATTTCATTTTCCGATAAATTTGTAATAATGAATTTTGTCGTTGAAAATTTTATTTATTTCATTAAATGGGAATCTCTAAACACTCCCATTTCATTTTCCGATTTCAAAATTTTGATATACAAATAAGATTTTTTAAGCTCCTACTTATTTAATTCTGAAATCCCTCAATATGTGCAGGTTGAGCCAAATTATCTTTATTCAAAAAATTTGCCGAATAATGGTGTTATCCAATAATTTATGATCATGATGGAGTTGTCGACTGAGTTTTAATTTCATGTGTTACGAAATGCTCACGTTTACTCGAAAAAAAATAACAGAAATAACGGATAACGGTATTATTGGGCCTGTATGGGCTTTTTTATCATGCCAAACTCGGCCTAGTATTTTAGCGAATAACAAATGGGCTCAAAAATATGGGCCCGAACTGGGCTCAAGCCCGGCCCGGCTCGCAAATTTCCGGGTTTATCCCGGCCCACTCCGGACCCTAATCAGCCAATCACACAAACGTCTGTTTGTGTTACCTAGGGCATAAAAAATGATAAAAGCGCAGCTAAGCGCAGTTTGAGTTCTTTTAACGTTTTTAACATTGAAAATGAGTTCTTCCAAGGATAAAGAACAAACCGTAAAACAAAGTAAAGAAGCCTTTGCTTATAAATTTTGGCAAGAATTTCAGGAAGAGCGAGGAGGTAAGAAATTTAGAAGAAAACATACAGATAATATGTTCTTTTCGTTTTCTTGTTCCTCTATTTCGTATTAATGCTATATATCATCTCTTGATTGCCCTGATTTCTTTCAATGAAGCAATACAAGAGTCCATAAATGAATTATCACAAAAACCAAAATCATCAATTCCTTCATTATGTGATGGGTTATTACAGCGTATAAGTGAGCTTGAAAAAAAAACTACAGATGCTTCAAGATTTTTACCTCCTTATGACCAAAGGCAGTCAATTCTGGTATATCAAAATTTTACAAAATCTTTCACATCTTTCACATAAGGATTTAATCAGTCAAAAAATTTTTAATCGATTAGTCAGCCGACTAAAACTATTAGTCATCAACTGACTGATTAGTCAACTCGTTGACTAATTAACTAATATAACAATCAAATTTGTTATATAACTTCATATCTGTAATAAATAATACTTTTTAGTCGATTGATTTTAAAAAAGATTAGTCGACTAACGACATTGATTCCTATCCTTAGACTTTCACATAATAGATATTCATTTGAATATTTACTTTTTTTGTATAGCAAATACGGGCATTAATTGAAGATCTTAACATAAAAAAGGCAGAATTGACTCCGAAGAACAAATTTTCGTTTAAATCGAGAAAAACGACAGGATCAACAGAAAAAAGTGTGTCAGTTGAATCAAACAAAATCGTAAACAGTGACTTGGAAGTTGTCACTTCAAATAATGAAATTGTTCCTACTATCACTTCACTTAATCAAAACTTCCAAACAGTAACTCTAGATAATAAACAAAATTGCTATGTCAGTGTAAAGTCATATTTAACAAATCTAGAAAAGTCTGAAGAAAAAGTAATGGATTTTCAAATTTCGAATTTAGACCATTGTATTGTGAACCTTGTAAGTTCTAATGTAGTTATAGGTGCGATGCATATTAAAGGATTGAGGGATACTGTTATATTGGCAGGTCCTGTTAGAAGCTCAATTTTGATTTATGACTGTGAAAGATGTGTGTTTTTGATCGGATGCCATCAGGTAAGATTAAATATATGTATATATTTTTAAAAAAAATTCGAATCATACTTAGGAAAGAGTGAATTAATGTCTTTATAGTTCAGAATGCATACATCCAGACAAATGACTATTTATCTTCACACAACAAGCCATCCTATAATCGAAGACTGCCATAATATTTTGTTTGCACCTTATACATTATTGATTCCTGGCTTGAATAATATGTTTGAGGTTAAGACAATATTTTAATCAAGCAATGTTTATAATAATTGATAGTAAATTTACATTTACATTAATACAATGTATGTACTCTTTTTTATAGGCGGCTAAGTTAGATCAAAAAAATAACAAATATGATAAGGTTGAAGACTTTAATTGGTTAAAACAACAGGCATCTCCTAATTGGCGAACTGTTTCAGAAAACAAAATACTTAAGAATTGGCCGTTTCTTCATGCGGATAATTCAGATGATACTACAGAAGAAACTGTTTCAACTGTGTTGAATGAGATTTTGGAGTCTCAATTAATTCCTTGATTATTTCCATTACATATTTAGTTTCTAGATAGATATTTATAAATTTTATTGCATTTCAACATTAGATTTATTTATTGATCCTGATTTCAGATTGATAAATAAATACTAGTCACAATGAAACCTCCCTATGTGTACATCATAGCTAAATGCACTTTTATAAATGTACTCACTATATAATGCGCAATCTAGCTTGGTTATAGTTCAGTTTTAGCTTATAAGACTTTATATAATCTACCTTCTAAATACACACCCTCCTACAGTACATACGCCTGTTTTATAAAACACCTAAAAAACAAGAGAAATCTAACTCTTATCAATTGCATCATTAATCTTACTGGCATAAGACCATTCTATCAACCATGGTCCGGTTGTAGACCTTTGTCCCGTATTTGTAGGTGCATTAACAAAATGATTAATCGCCTGCATCATCTGTTTGGCACATATCTTTTCCGAAAGCCCCCCAACACCAGTTCCAAATCCGGCGCATACAACAGCGTTTATACGCTGATGTTTACTGCTTTCTTCAAGTATTTTAGCATTATGCATTCTAACAGCAGTGAGCATAGCCCAAGTACATCTGTAAACAGTATCATCTTCACTCAAAGATTTAGGTAATCGCATGGTAGGGCAATGAGCTATATATCCCGGAAAACTTCTTTTTTCATCATCGCGCATTGAATTATTCTTAATCTTTGTGGATAACTCTCGAATGTCAACCAATAAACAAGTACCAACATTTTGTTCACCACACCATTCAAAATCGATTGTTTTTTGTACAATTGGAATGAGTTTATCTGTACCACCGTAGTACTCTGAAATATAATAATCTATACCACCATCCATTAATCCAAAACTGTTTGCGGGAGAGACCAAACATTCTGCCTGGTTAGTTTTTAACAAATTTTGAAAGGTGTCCTTGTGAATTTGAACTTTCAAGCACTGAGTCAGATCATCAGTTGATACTTTAGCTGGAAGTTTTTTGAGTTCATGAGTCCACTCTTGTACTAATTCCTACAGTAGAGAAAAAAAAAAAACTGTTTCTATTTTGTTCTATAAATATTGTAAGTTGCATTATAATATAAATATACATACATCGCTTATGTCCACAAGAAACAACTTGAAAGCGTGTGGAGGTAGCTGCGAAGATGTCTCAATTGTTGGTACTGAAACGTTAGTCTCCATCCTACTTATCTTATTTGTAGTAGTTAATAAAACAGAAGGAATGTTGAAAATCGGTTTCGGGTTTATTTTATAGAAATAATTTCCCAGTCGATGTGAATAAACCTGTCGAAATAACTGTTTAACATTCATCAAGTGGCAATATTGTTATCCCAATGGCGGTATTTTTATTCCGATTCACTCAATTTTTATACTCGACTATTGTGGCAATATTGTTATCCCAATGGCGGTAAAAATTGGTGAATCGGAATACGTAAAAATAAGTATACTCAATTCGACTTTTGTATTACTATTATAACTTTATCTTGTGTACTACGCATCAAATCGGTAAATCAATCAAACTATATAAGTAGGTTATTATTGAGGGTTATTTTAATAATTTCGGGAATTTCGGAAAATTAACTATACAGATTGTTTTCTTTATTAGTGCAATATAGTTTTTTTATGTTAAATTTTTTTCGATAGCTTTTATTATGCTCTTTTTAACAATAGACTCGGTTTTACAATTTTCCTTAGCTTTATGTTTGTCAAACTCAGATAAAGTTTATTTTACATTGTTAAAGAATTTACCACTTATAAAATAGTATAAATCGAAAAAATGGCTCTATTACATTAAAGTATACAATTTGCTCTATCTTTTAAATTATTATACTAGTTTGAGAGAAAAGCGTACCGAAAGTTGATATTATCCGCAGTGAATTCGGATTTTCATGAAAAATATTTATCATATGCGACCCTAATTTTGATTTTATGATCACCCTAACTACGGATAGTTGCCATTCTTTGACTTAAATGGTTATTAGGGCTGAAAATTGGTCATCGTCAACCAAACCAGAACTGATAGCAATATGGATAGCTATTTTGATATCACCAAGTAATAAGTAAACTTCTATCGGCGGATCAACGTCCACACCATTATTGGGTAAATCAAACCGTTTAATGAAGTTGTGAGTATAACAGTCGACCGAGATGTCACGCAGATGTAAATAAATTTTTTACTATGAAATTTGAGTGATCGACACTCATATGAAAAATTCGATTTTCATAGTAAATTGCAACGGT